CCGCCATGGGTCGACCGGGGTCGACGCAGGCTCGTTGAGCCGAAACTGGCCGAGTCTGGCCGATCATGACCGAGGTCCACCCACGAGAAACGCTTGTTCTAGTCGTTCTACGGATCGGATGGCCTCGGCCTTTCGATGCAACAGCAACCGACCATCGAATTAAAATTGCAATAGTGAATCAAATCGTTAAAATTTACGACTAAGATTAATCAAATCAGATTTTTGGAGATACCAGCCATTCTTTGTGGAGATCGGTATGCGCTCTACGGGGGATATTATGTTAAGGTTTTAGAGAAGAAAATACGAAAACAATACGAAACTCGTGAATCATTCGCAGCGCGCGCTTTTGTTTCGTTTACTATTCGGATATTACTTGTTGCACTTTCGCGACACACTTGCCTTCTCTTATAACGCTTTTGTAATCTGCAATTGAATGATTTTATAATGATTTCATCCTCGCGAAAATAAATTAAATTTTTTGTAACAATTATATTTTATAATTATAATTTAATTAATATTAATTAATAATAATTTCGCTTTAAAAATTTGATATATTTTTTAATCGTTATTTTTGTACATTTATATAGAAATAATCATTTATATGAATTGAAAAATTATAAATATTTGTAATTATTAATTCCATAATGCAAATTATATTTTATGTTGCATACATTCGTAATTCTGTAAGTAGATTTCACGAAACTTAAATTGCTGTGTATCGAAAAACGGCAAATTTGATCACGGTATAGTCGTCTATAATTTCTGCGTTCGTTATTTACATAATTTGAGATCAACAATGAATACCGAGAACGCCCACGTAGCCGTTTACAAATCACGATCCTCTTTCGTTCTTTTTTTTTTCCTCTTCGGTTTTCGTTCTAGTCTATCAAGGATGCACCTGATTACCGAACGTCATTATTACCGACCAAGAAACGAACCGAGACAAAAAGTTCTGCCATAAAGCAAAATGGAGAAAACGAGCGAATGGAAAAAAAAAAGAAGGAAAAGAAAAGAGAAAAAAGTAAGAGAGAAAAATGGGAAAAACGAACAAAGTTCTTTTGAAAATTCTGATTGACTGACTGAAAAGTTTGTAAAGGTATGGTAATAATAATAATTACTTTTTCTCTACAATCAAAATATATTCACAACACAATTTTAATCTTTCGTTTTTATTGTTTATCACCTGTCTACAAGGAACGCAAATTCGCTCCCTTTTTCTTCTTCGTTTCTTTTTATCTTTTCCTTCAGATACCTCAGCGTACAGCTATTAAGTTAATCTCCCCGATTACCTATACGGTTCGTCATTACTTTATTTTATGTTTTATCGAGAATTCTCGAGGGATCCATGTACGTACGACTTTAATATCGAAACACGATGTACATACATTTACCATAATGCATAACTGTTACCAAATTATCACATATATTGCGTACACGGGCAGAAAATATTTTTGGTGATTCCAATTTTAAAAGAAACGTCCAAAATAATTCGTACTTTATATACGCGTAAAATATTTATTGATTGGATAACAATGTCGATTTTATATCGGCTCTTAAGCCATGTCAATTTTTAAAGGATTCGTTAAAGGATAAATTGCGTTCAATTTGAGATATTATTAAAATTTGCATACATATTTCGATACATATAAATAACAGCGAACAGATCATTCTTTCTCGATAAATTTACAATTACATCATTACAATTTATATATACGATTCAACAGTTCGCAGTATGCGGTTATACACGCAGCAAGGGAACACGTAAGAATTTTTTTTCTCCTCTTGTGAATACAATGTACAATACAAAGCACTGTAGCAGACCGTAGCAGATATCGTCGAGAGGACTGCGCCACGAAACTCCATTTAATCTAGAGCAAATATAGGGAGGGCATCGCTTGAATCAAGACAAGAGTTAAGAAGAGAGAGAACAGTTCCCTTTGTCGGTTCTAATCTGAGTAAACAATCCCATATACCACCGGATCGTCCCATCCAGATTCTTGTTTGATCCAAAATTATCCTATCTACCTACCTATTGCTACCGTAAATATATAATTCAAGAAATTTTATTCTTTTAACCACGAAATTTTATTCTATTTCTCACGCGTTGTCGATCTTCCGTCTCGATCAATTCTCTTTCTCTCTCTCTCTCTTCCCCCTCCCCAACCTTTCGACGATGCTCGCGCATCGTAACGAGCGAACGGTACAGAGACGGTACGGTGCAAAAATTGTGCGAGATTTGAATGAGAAACGTCATCACCGGCTTTGAACCACCATCGCGGCATCGGTGGTTCAAACGTGGAGACGTGTGTGGTGCCGTTGGAAGAAGGAAGTAACGGCGTTTTCTACTTATCCTGGAAAAAAAGCTGCGCCCACTACTATCACACGAAAGGGGAGAGAAGGGGAGATGGTGAGGTCGCCTTTGAAAGGCTTTCTTTGCTCCGATCGCGGTGGCGCTGCAGTCTCCAATTAACGCTTTCCGCGTCGAATCAAAAGACCCGACGGTACGCTGAAAAGTGGATTAAAACGTGCCCCGTTTCCTATCGCCTTTTACAACGTTTACAGAGAGAGAGAGAGAGAGAGAAAGAGAGACGCGACCGTATACACATGCATACGATATGCGTGCTCCTTGCGCTCGCGCCGACACTTTGCCCCCTCCCTCCCTTCTCCCTCTAC